AACCAAAGGGGACATGGCCATTAAGTTAGATTTAAGTAAAGCTTTTGATAGAGTAGAATGGGACTTCTTACATGGGGTGATGCAAGCTATAGGCCTTCCTCCAAACTGGGTGAATCGGGTAATGACTTGTGTTCGAACTGTCAACTACTCTATCTTGGTTAATGGTTCATTAACGAAGGAGTTTACCCTTTCGAGAAGAATTCGACAGGGGGATCCTTTATCTCTTTTTCTCTTTCTCTTTTGTGTTGAGGATCTCTCATCTATGCTGTCGAATGCTTTGCAATCAAGGGCCCTACAGGGGCTATAGTGTGCCAAGGAGGTCCAAAAATTTCTCACTTGTTCTTTGCGAATGATAGCTTGTTGTTTGGGGCGGCCACTGAGAAAGAAGATTTTAATTTAGTCACCCTTCTACAGCAATATGGAGCAGTTTCTGGCCAACAAATCAATCTAACTAAATCTTCTATCTTTTTTAGCTGCAATATGCCCAATGAAGTGTAATTAAAGGTAACGACGATCTTGAACATTTCGCAGGTTATAGTAGATGATAAATACTTGGGTATGCCTCTTCTAATTGGTAGCAGCAAAAGCATTTGTTTTGCCTCTATTCGTGATCGTATTTGGACAAAGATCCAGGGTTGGAAGAAAAAATTGTTATCAAAGGCTGATAGAGAAGTATTGATTAAAGCTGTAGTGCAAGCTACTCCCACATACTGTGTGGGGTGTTTTCGCCTTCCGCAGAATTTTTTGCAATCTCTTAATAGCATCATCAATAACTTTTGGTGGGGTGATAACTCTGATAGGCGAAAAATTCATTGGCTAAGATGGGATTTAGTGTGCAGACCAAAAAGTCTTGGTGGATTGGGGTTTAGAGATTTCCAAGCTTTTAACTTGGCTATGCTTGCGAAACAAAGCTGGCGGCTCATGCGAGATCAATCTATCTTATGTTATCAAGTGCTTAAGGCTAAGTATTCTAAAAATGGTGATTTGCTAGGAGCTAGATTAGGGACCAACCCTTCTATGGTGTGGCGAGGTGTCATGGCTAACCTTGGGGTTTTAAGGAAGGGATCATGTTAGAGAGTTGGGAATGGAGCATCTACCGTCTTCGGAGGGACCCCTAGGTTCCTGATTCTAGCGTGCTTTCATCTATCACAGAAGATAGAAACATAGAGTGGGATGCATGGGTAAGCTCCCTCTTAGACCATGCTACATGTCAGTGGGATTTAACTAAACTCCAGCAACTGTTTCCTAGTGACACAGTGGAGAAAATAAGCAACATTACATTGAGCAATAAATGTGCCCATGATCAGTTGATTTGGAGGCATAATATTAATGGGAGGTTTACAGTAAAATCAGCATACCGATTTGTGTGGGATGCCGTCCATGAATCGAGCTTTAAATGAATACAATGAACTGATGAAGCTGGTTTGGTTTACTGTTTGGCATATGGATACTGTGCCAAAAATCAAGCATTTTCTATGGAAATTTATCTAGGAAATCTTACCAACTAGACTGGCTTTACAGCACCGGAGAGTGGAT